CCGCTTCAACTTGGACACCCCAAAATAATTAACTTTAGTGGATCGCACGCAAAAGCTTCGCGTACGCAATAAAATTGCCGGTCAGAAGTACGGTTCCGCAAACAAAATCAACATATGAGTCATCAAATTATGAAGAAAAACCAGGTGTGAGCCTGCCAAAAATATTCGACATTTATTGTTGTCAATATTTGTTTTTCTATCCACGTGCTTATGTCAACCATTTCGTCGTTTACCCTGAGACTGGGTTTTTTTTTGAAGAGCAGAAGTAACAGAAAAAACAGACAGGTCTCAAACTCAGCTATACGTTTATTTCAACAACTTCCTCTTATATAGTTCGTTTTCGTCGTCAACAACCAATCACATACGACTTGTCCTTTGCACCGTGACTTTACAGGTTCCACTATATCACAAAAGAAGCGGACACTCCCAACGTTTCCAAGTGAAAAGGTTCTAGCAGAAGATATGCCTCACAAAGCCTCAAGCAACTCTTTTGTGTCCTCACAATAAACAGGACAACAGCCCACAACAACATCCCACTCAAAACTGGTCACCTCCAAAATTGTAGAAAACAGACAATACACACCAGTACACACCACAGACAATACACACCAAAGAAACTTTTCAAGATGACTAACTAAAAAAAAAAGAAAAAAAAGCACTTAAAATTGTAAAAATTGCTTGCAGCTGTTCCCTATTTGCATGGAAGGTTGACTAATGCAATTTCCCAACGATCTAATCCTAATTGTATCTCTTACCACCCTTTTAACATCGTTCCTTTCCTTAACAACTACATCCGTTCCAGACCAATCCGTTGTGCAGTTTCTACACTCCTCCAGATGCTTAGCCAACTCCGAATTTGCTGCATTATTTTTAACATTCCTTTTGTGTTCTGTTAAACGGTCGTTTAAACACCGAGAGGTTTGGCCTACATACTTAAAACCACACGCCAAAGGAACCTCATACACCACGCCTACGCTACACGGCACCGACTTTTCCCTATGCGCCTTCTGACAGCCCCTCTGAGCCGTTTCAAAAGGTGTCAATCTATCTAACCTAAAATCCGTGCTGAATACGACATCCACGCCATATTTGTTTGCACATGCTCTAAGATTGTGGGACACCTCGTGAAAATACGGAACCACAGCGTACCTATTCCTGATTTCTTGCGTCTTCCCCTTTTTCTCCCTGCACTGTAGGGCAATCTGCCTTTTGATGTACTCTTCCCCATATCCTGCCATTACCAGTCTTTCCCACTGGTTTTTTAGTGCCTCCGGTCCGAAATGCATGCATGATCTCACCAAAGCATTACTAATCAAAGATCTGACTACCCCGGCTTTTACATTTTTCGAGTGACAGCTACTCTTTGACAGAACCGGTTTTGGATTTTCCTTCCCATACTCCCAACAAAGACCTCGTTCCAAATGTAAACGCAGGTCGAGAAATTGCAGGACCTCGCCCCTTGGCCTCTCTAACGTGAATCTCAACTCTGGCGCCGCTGACCTTACAACTTGTTCTAAAACGTGGTCCAATCCTTCCTGAACAGAGCAAACTAAGATATCATCCACAAATCTTTTCACAAAACACTTTGGAGACAACTCTTCTACCTTGTTATACACTTGCTGGTCCACCGTGTTCAAGTAAATTTCCGCTAACAAAGGCGCTACAGACGAACCTATACAGACTCCCTCTTTTTGCACAAAATTGCGACCTTCGTATTCCAATACCGTTGACTGTAAATAAAGGTCTAGCACCGAAAGAAAACTATCCACCGCTATTCCTGTTCCTGATTGAAACTTAATAAGGTTCCCTTCCAAGGCGATCCTCACTCTATCCATTAGTCTGCTTTTCTCTAAAGAGTAATATAGGTCCTTGATGTCCATGGAGAATACCGCGCACTTCCTTCCGTGAAACTTTTCCATTACCTCAATCAACTCACTAGAGTTCTTTAAGGCAATTGACTTCTCCAAATTAGCTAACTTCAAACCCCGCTGTAAGAAGCATGAGACCACCTTCTGCCACGTCCCATTCTCGTTAACAACGGTACGTAGGGGCATTTCAATCTTATGATCCTTCAAAAAGAACTTAAGGGTGAGCGTTGAACGCAACTTGAACGCAACTGTTACTTCTGCTCTTCAAAAAAAACCCCAGTCTCAGGGTAAACGACGAAATGGTTGACTTCCACCAGCTAGCCTGTACTTTGACTCTTTTCTTGCTTATGTCGCCGTGGAAAGCCGTGAAACTCCCTATAAAATTATTTTGGGCAGTGTTTCCGACGGTGCTCGCTCGATCGTAAAATGCCGCTTTGTTGCTACTTTGGCGAATCAAACAAGGAAGCCACGTTCACCTACAATGCCCTGTCCACAAGAAGGGAAATCGAAATTTTCGCTTCGTTTTCTTTTTTTTTTTTTATATTCTTCTCTTGTGCACGATATAGGGTATGAATTAATATCCTTCCCTGTACTCTCGCTGCGACGAACAGTCCGATAGACGAGTCACCCTATGACAAAGATGGGGGTCCCGAAAATCTCCTAAAATCGTGTTTGTTCTCAGAGACACATCCGCGTGTAAGAAAAACCGCGGCCCTCTCCACGAAGTACGGACATATTTGATAAATAGGGTTGACTTGAGGTTGAACTTTTCATTTGCTTTGTAAACACGAGCGTGACGTCACGTGCGCATCCCACGCGACCCAACTGAAGTCTGAACTGGTGTACTATGTGTGGACAATAGGGCATTATTTTGACGTCCCGGCCGCGACGACCTTGGCGAGGGAGGACAGATGGGGGTCCCGAAAGCTCCTAGAATCGTGGTTTGTTCGCAGGGACACACACATCCGTGTGTAACAAAAAACGCGGCCCTCTCCACGAAGCTTACACAGGCATTGTTGTGTAACTACTGAAGATGCGTCCCGCAAGGGAGGCGAAACGTCTAGTGAAATTGTTTTTTCCTGTTCTGTGAAGTCGGTGCTTTTATTTTAATAATGTTACCAGTCGGCCTGTGTGACCAGTGCTCATTTGAAGAATCGCCTTTGTCTTTCCTGAACCCTAACAAAAACACCCTCATAACATTTTTTTTTTTTTTACTGTTCGGCTACGTTGGCATAGCCTATAATCGACATAATTTTTGCGAAAGCCTACTTTTATTTTATAATTATCTGTAACCATTTCTAATTGAAAAAGTGACCAGTATAATAATTATATTATGATTTCATATCAAAATTCGACGAACCGGGAGAAGCGAAATTCGGTTAAACAGCTTTTCAAAAAAATATCCGGTGCCCGAAACTTGCTTATATTAAAATGTCTAACATGTGTATGTGTTCTAATACAGAAGATGAGTGCAATGTGGAAACTGAATGGCCTCACAGACAATTGTCAACGAGTTGGAATTTTTGATGAATTATCCTTTGTCGAGTCATCCTACTACCGATTGGCCTCTTCAATCAATTGCCCGTCGACAAATATTGATGTTGGTTTATTTGCCATCTGGTGTAAGGGGAGAGTGTGGGGCTCGTCAAGCCGACATCTGCCAGCATTTTCATCACGCCTCCAGCGCCTGTACCGACTGACGCCGACGAGTTGGTCTAGAAATAAATACCCACGGACTATACTATAGCCGCTAAGTATCTCTACGCGAGCATGATTTGTTTTCAAAGGGGCACCCGCCTGTCGGTGCTTCTTTGAATTATACATACGTCACGGTCAAAACGTTCCGCAGCTAATGAGTGAAGGCCGACCAACCTATTTTGTCCAATTGTCCGTGTATGGGAGATGAGAATGCCACTGCGTCAAAGACAAGACGTGTGCGAGCGTTGCTAAAAATAGAGACCACTATCGATGTTTCGGTATACATGGTTTCATTCTTAGTCAGAATTCAAACAGAGGTTAAATGTCACGAAAACACATACACAAAGACAAAAAGCACTTTATCACGGCGCATTGTATGAGTTGTTATATTAGTGGGTGGAATCACCCAAACAAAGATAGTGAACGCCGTGGCGTTTAGGTGTTGAGCTGTTGGTGATGCTTGATCGGCGCAATGTGTCAGTCGAGCCCCAACTGAGGGTGATATGAGGCGGGGCAGCTCTGTGGTTTTACTTGTTGTTTATTCTGGTGTCTTTCGTTTTTGCGCGAAATATTGCGGATCACAACAGCTAGGCATCTTCGTCCGATGAAGCTCTGTTTTACTGATTGGCGTTTCATCGAATAGTGGACATTTCATCGAACACCGCTTCATTGAACGCCAACTCATCAAGTAGCTTGATCGAATTATGTTTCTGCTATCAAATTATTGCAGATATAATAACTACGCTCGTCATATATTGTAAATAACGGTAGCCTTTAGCGAAACTTGTGTTGCATAGTTGGTTTCGGCCGTCAGCAAATAGTGAAAAATATCTATCTACCTATCTCTCTCTCTCTCTCTCTCTCTCTCTCTCTATATATATATATATATATATATATATATATATATATATATATATATATAAATATACACAGAGGCAAAAATGCGTACTGTCAGAGGTACTAATTCGAAGTTTACTACGACGTTTCGAGCGGGGACCACTCTTCATCACCTAATGAAGAACGGTCCCCGCTCGAAACGTCGGAATAAACTTCGAATTAATAACTCCGACAGTACGCATTTTTGACTTTATATATATATATATATATTGTGATGAAGACCATCATCGTCGTCATCGGGCATCGTCATATCTACCCCATCATCGTCATCACCGATAGCTCGTGTGGCCCGTGCTCGCAACCGCGGGCCAGTTCGAATATAATCATCACTGAAAGCGGTCGTTGAGCTTCTGTCTTCCTGACATTATTGGTGGAGGTGCGGGGTCACGATCCCAGTAGCGACGTTCCATCACTCTGGAGCTTCGTCCCAGAAGGCGAATAGTGACAATGACCAGCAGTGGCCAATCCTCCTCCGGTGCCTCTGCAGCTGCAGTCAGCCCTGCCCCCAGCCAGCTCCGACATCCCAAAACCTTTGCCGGACTCCGAGAGGACGACGTGGAGGACTGGCTGGACGTCTACGAGCGAGTGAGTCTTTATAACAAGTGGGACGACCAGGCGAAACTGCGGAATGCTATTTTTTATCTCTCCGATGTGGCCAAGATCTGGTTCACCAACCATGAAGATGAAATCGTGACATGGCTGCTATTCAAAACCCAGCTAGCCGAAATCTTCGGCAAACCCGCCAATCGTAAAGCTGTAGCTGAACGAAAGTTGGCAGCACGAATTCAATCTTCTGGCGAGACGTATACTTCCTACATCGAGGATGTCCTCGCACTTTGCCGCCGTTGCGACAAGGACATGTCGGAGGCCGACCGAGTCCGCCATGTAATGAAAGGGATCTCAGAAGAGGCATTTAACGTCCTTCTTGTGCAAAATCCCACGACTGTTAAGGACATCACCACGCATTGCCAAAGGCTGGATGAGGCCCGCAACTCCCGTCTTCAGGTTCGAGCACTGCATGACGGCTCATCAATTACCATGCCTTCTTTATCGACCGATACCCTGAAGCAAATGATACAGAAAATTGTACGAGATGAACTTTCACATTTTCTCCGACCTGCTGCAAGCCACCAGACGATTGAGAGCGACGACAGCGGGTTGCGCCGCATTATCCAACAGGAGATTGCTTCTGTCGTCACACCAAAAGAGACTTCCCCTAATGTCACCGATGGACTTCGAACTTCTGATGAAACTTCTCGTTCGGGAGTTCCTCAACTGATTCCGGACCTTCCTGCTCTGGCTTCTATCTCGCCTGCTTTTAACAGGGGTCCTTTACCCCCTTGGAGCAGCCGCCCCACTTATCCCAACTACGGATCCTGGGGATATCGGCCGCGTCCAATCTGCCATTATTGTGGGATTACCGGCCACGTGGCACGAGTTTGCCGAAGAAGACAACAGGACTACGAAACCCGCGACTACTACAGTCGAGAGCGAAACAACAGAGGGCATTGGAACCAGCCGCGGGATCAGTCTCCACCCCCGGATCCCTATCCAGCGCGTCGTCCAGAAGCTCCACGGCGCCGCTCCCCATCTCCGTATCCTCGCTCTTTCTCACCCATGATCTCGAGGAGAGACGCGCGGCCCAATACGGGAAACTAGGTTCCGCAGTTGTTGGAGGAGCAACTGCGTCACGGGAGAGTCTTCATCATCCTCCCTCTGACCCATCCAATCTCATCGAGGTACATTTCGACGGCTTACTCCTGTACGCTTTAGTTGACACAGGGGCGGCTACTTCCGTGATAAAAGAGGACATTTGCTTACGTCTTCACAAAGTTAGAACACCCCTACATGGTTGTTCATTACGGGCGGCGTCCACAGACATCATTCATCCCACCGCTCAGTGCACGGCTCGCGTTTTCATACAAGGTACGTGCCACACCATTCAGTTCATGGTTTTGTCGTCTTGCACACACGACCTGATTCTAGGCTGGGATTTTCTTCAATCTGCTGAAGCTGTCATTAATTGCAAAGGCGTCAGTTTGGGGGATTCAAATAACCGCGAGTCTGATTCCATAATCGTTGAAACCAAATTACGGGCTCGTGAGGATACTGTCATTCCTCCGCTAGCATCTTTCCTGATAAATTTTTCGAGCGAACCAAGCCTTTCGGGGACTTTTCTAGTAACTCCTCTATCTACCGTCTTGCTATCGCACGGGTTCATCGTACCCTATGCCCTATCTAAACTTACCGATGGCAAGACAGTACTCCCTGTATGTAACGTTACACACCAGCCACTTCTTTTCGTAAAGGACACAGTCGTCGCAAGTATCGAACCACATAATTCTTTGGAACTTGCTTCGCTCGAATCAACACATCATTTTGACCCTTCAACGTTGCCTGTTATATCCAACCAAATACTTTTGAATGCCACTAACTCTGACCTGGGAGAGGTTCATAAAAAGCAATTAATTAATTTATTAACTCGTTTCCAATCGTTCTTTGACGTTTACACGTCCTTCACAAGCACAACAAACTCGGTAGCACATACGATCAATACGCCTCCTGGAGAAATAGTTCACCAACGCCCATATCGCGTGTCTCCTTCAGAACGCCGTATTATTGACCAAGAGGTGTCAGAAATGCTGCGTAAGGGGATCATCCGTCAATCCTCGAGCCCCTGGTCTTCACCAGTAGTCCTTGTAAAAAAGAAGGACGGCAGCATACGTTTCTGCGTTGATTACCGTAGACTCAATAAGATCACTCGCAAGGACGTATACCCTTTACCACGGATTGATGACACATTAGACACCCTACAAGGAGCCGAATATTTTTCATCCCTGGATTTAAAGACCGGCTACTGGCAAATACCAATGAAGGAAGAAGACAAAGAAAAAACAGCTTTCATTACAACTGACGGTCTTTTTGAATTCAACGTGATGCCTTTTGGCCCTTGCAATGCGCCGGCAACATTTGAGCGCATGATAGATAACGTTCTCCGTGGCCTTAAATGGCACATATGCCTTTGCTACCTTGATGACATTATTATTTTTTCTCGTACGTTTAACGACCATCTCCTTCGCCTCTCCGAAGTGTTCGTTTGTCTCACAAAAGCTAACCTCCTACTCAACACAAAAAAGTGCCGCTTTGCCTCTCGACAAATTAAGATCCTTGGGCATTTAGTAGATAAAGATGGCATTCGGCCCGACCCAGACAAGCTCAAGGCAGTAAACGAATTTCCTGTTCCTCTTAATATCAAACAACTTCGTAGTTTCCTAGGACTCTGCTCGTATTTTCGCCGTTTTGTACCTCACTTCGCCCAACTGGCTGCCCCACTTACACGGTTGTTACAGGCCAATGCACCATTCATCTGGTCCCCTGAATGTCGAGACTCATTTCACTCTCTCAAAGCCACTCTCCAGTCCGATCCAATCCTGGGCCACTTTAATGACTCTGCCCCTACAGAGTTGCACACCGACGCCAGTGGATATGGCCTTGGTGTTGTTCTATTGCAGAGCGATCCGAACACACTAAAAGAATATGTTGTGGCCTATGCGAGCCGAATGCTCTCCGCCGCCGAACAGAATTACACTATAACCGAGAAAGAATGCCTAGCTGTCGTTTGGGCCATTAACAAATTCCGGCCATATCTTTACGGAAGACATTTTACTATTGTGACCGATCACCACGCGTTATGTTGGCTTTCTTCCTTGAAAGATCTCACTGGCAGACTTGGTCGATGGACGCTTGCGCTTCAGGAATACAACTACACAGTAGTATACAAATCTGGGCGCAAACATACAGACGCTGACAGCCTATCTCGATGTCCAGTAGACAAACCAGATGAACGGCTTGAAAACATGGATGACGTTTTTGATGTCTCAGCACTCCATTTTGACTCTATTACACATGAGCAATCCGAAGACCCATGGATCAAAGGCATCATAGACCACCTTAAGAAACCGAATAACTTCGTTCACAAAAAGTTCCGAAAAGAGTTACAGAACTTCTCTCTCCAAGATGGTATACTCTACCGGCACAACTTTTCCCCTTCAGGACACCGCTGGCTTCTCGTAGTTCCTCGCAATATGCGCACTGACATTCTTCGATCTTTTCATGATGACCCTACTTCAGGACACATGGGGTTTAACAAAACATACGCTCGCATTAGGCAACGCTACTTCTGGCCGCAGCTTCAGACAACTGTTTTTAAATATGTTCAGTCCTGCTTGAAATGCCAGCGTAGAAAACGTCCAACCACTGCCCCTGCTGGTTTGCTGCAACCATTAGTTTGCCCCAGTGCGCCTTTCGAACGAGTGGGAATCGATTTGTTCGGTCCGTTCCCCGTTTCTTCTCATGGTCATCGGTGGATAGTCACGGCCGTTGCGCCGAGACTGCCGCGCTTACCTCTGCGACATCTGAAGAAATTGCTCAATTCTTTGTACACACCATACTTCTACGTCATGGTGCGCCACAAGTCCTCTTAAGCGACCGAGGACGGCAGTTTCTTTCGAGTACACTTACAGCTATTCTGAAAGCCTGTAACGTAATTCATAAAACAACATCATCATATCATCCACAGACAAACGGTTTAACCGAACGTTTTCACAAGACCCTTGCAGACATGATATCCATGTATGTTTCCCCCGACCATACGAACTGGGACACTGTACTCCCGTTCGTAACTTTTGCCTATAATACTGCCCTCCAGTCTACCACGGGCTACTCCCCTTTCCATTTAGTGTACGGACGCGAAGCATCATGCACAATGGACACCATCTTTCCTGTCGCTCCTTCAATCAACAATCAAAGTGAACTCCTAGATAACTTCATCTTTGGCGCCGAAGAATGCCGCCAGCTCGCGCAGCTCCGCACGTCGCGGCATCAACAGGTCACCAAGGACCGCTATGACAAGCACCACACGAACACTTCTTACTCCCCTGGGGACCTTGTGTGGGTTTGGACACCAGCCCGACAACCTGGCCGAGTGGACAAGTTCCTCCACAAGTACATCGGTCCCTATCGAATCACCGAGAAAACATCACCTGTCTCCTACCTCGCTGAGCCCATTTCTTCCTCCTCGGATGGCCGCCGTCGACCTTCGGAAGTTCTACACGTGAACCGCTTGAAACCATACCACCCACCACTGCAATAGCTCCCACCCCCCCCCCCCCCCCCGAGGAGGGGGGTAATGTGATGAAGACCATCATCGTCGTCATCGGGCATCGTCATATCTACCCCATCATCGTCATCACCGATAGCTCGTGTGGCCCGTGCTCGCAACCGCGGGCCAGTTCGAATATAATCATCACTGAAAGCGGTCGTTGAGCTTCTGTCTTCCTGACAATATATATATATATATAATTTACTAATACAATGTCTGGACATTTACACTTACCAAGTAACCATTTTCAGCTGTGATTTGAGACTGTGTTGCGGTTATCCCGCTCTTATTTATTTATTTTTTGTTTCTCTTGTTTCTGGCCTTTTTAGTATAGGCTTCCACCAGCTCGCTTGCGCGTGAACTCTAATTTCAAGTGAAACAAGTTTGTAAATTAGGGTGACACTATATAGGTTTGAAATCCTATACCAATTTTATTGCCATTTGGTGAGCCACGTACGAATTTTGAAATATATCTTTTCATCCAAATAATCGATTAGTAAATGGAATAGCGATTCGGACGAATTTACTACGACGGGAAGAACGAATTTGCAAATCTCATGGCAATTAGGAAATTTCAGCCATCCTTGGTTTCCGATTGGTCGCGCTCAGTAGCGGCTCCCTCCGCACAGAGTAGCCTCGAGTCAGAATTCGCGGAGTCTCTACTGACCGGCCAAAAAAGTGCGGCGCTTCAACTGCTCCCGCCCAGACGACTTGATGTATTTGTATACGCCCATGACATCGGCCGCGTTCGGCGATTGAGGTTCCGTTAGCCGACGCAAGCGTCAGCGGACGTCTCATATTTCCATACTCTCATTTAACTACAGAAACAAAAACAAAAAAAAAAAATCATCCAGTTCATGTTCACTATGTTTACCACTGACAAGGTAGTCGGTAGTCGACGAGTTTCCGTGCAAAGCCGATCAAA